GACATTAACCGAGCGAGGATTTAACCGCTAGTCCTTCAACAGGAACCGAGAGGAATTTATCTCTCAGTCTTCAACCTTAATCGAGAGGATTTACCTATGACTTCGACATTAAACCGAGCGGGATTTACCGCCGTCCTTCAACATGAACCGAGAGGAATGACCTCTCGGTCTTCAACCTTAATCGAGAGGATTTTACCTCTCGACCTTCGACATTAACTGAGCGGGATTTACCGCTCGTTCTTCAACAGGAACCGAGAGGGATTACCTTCGTCTTCTACCCTTAACGAGACGGATTTTACCTCTCGACCTTCGACATTAAGAGCGGGATTTACGCTCGTCCGTCAACATGAACCGAAGAGGAATTTACCTCTCGGTCTTTCAACATCAACCGAGGAGGGCTTTACCTCATTAGCCGAGCGGGATTACCACTTGTCTTTCAACATGAACCGAGAGGGGAGTTACTCTCGGGCTCGACATTACCGAGACTGGATTTACCGACTCGTCTAACATTGAACCGAGAGGATTTACCTCTCGGCCTTTGACCAGTTAACGAGAAGGATTTACCGTTCGTCCGTCAACATGAACCGGAGAGTTACCTCGCGGCTTCGACATAAACCGAGCGGGATTACCGCTAGTCATTCGACATTACGCGAGAGGAATTTTCGCTCGTTCTTTCAAAATTGAACCGAGGAGAATTTACCTCTCGGCCTTCGACATTAATCGAGCGGGGGATTTACCGCTCGTCCTTCAACATTGAACCGTTAGCGGGCGATTTACCCGCTAGTCCTTCAACATGAACCGAGAGAGATTTAACGCTCGGTCTTCGACCTAGGAGTGCTTCCAAGGGAACGGACTTTACCGTTCGGCTTTGCAGAGGGTTTTACCTCTGTTTTGAGCTAGGATTGTTTCCTAGTGAACGGATTTACCGTTCATTTTGAGAGGGCTTACCTCTCTCCGAGGGGGATTTACCGACTCGGTCTTGACCTAGGAGTGCGTCATAGGGACGGCTTACGTTCGCTTTGAGAGGGCTTTACTCTCTGTGGTGAGCTAGGCGAGTGCTTCCTAGTGAACGGCTTACCGTTCCTGTTCGTCTTGGAGAGGCTTACTTCTCCCGAGAGAGATTTACCGCTCGGTCTTTGACCTAGGAGTGTTTCCTAGGGAACGGGCTTTACCGTTCGAACTTTGAGAGGCTTTACCTTCTCATGAGAGGAGTTACCGGCGGGTCTTGACCTAGGGTGCTTCCTAGGGAAAGGCTTTACCGTTCGGCTGTGAAGGGTTTTACCTCTGGCTTGAGCTGGAGGTTTCCTAGTGAACGAGATTTACCGTTCGTCTTTGAGAGGGGCTGTATCTCTCTCCCGAGCGGGATTTACCGCTCGGTCTTCGACCTAGGAGTGCTTCTAGGGAACGGGCTTTTTACCGTTCCGGCTTTGAGAGGGTTTTACCTCTGCTTTGAGCTAGGAGGTGTTCCTAGTGAACGGGGGATTACCGTTCGTCTTGAGAGAATTTTACCGCTCTCCCGGAGGGATTTACCGTCGGTCTTGGATTGATCGTTAATTATGGAACTTTGGACACGAAATGAGTAATTAGTGTTTGACAATAAGGAGCTTCCCTTCGTTTATTGATATTCCATGATACTTTTAGCATGAAGTTCGTTTATGACTGATCTTAGTGGCAACTTGCCTAGTTGATTGGCGGGCGTGGATTTGAATAGATATTCTCAAGATGTTCATGCTGAAATGAAATTCTCATGATGATTATATATATGGTATATAACCGTATAATAAATGATTCGGTTACCAGATATTATGAATTGCACCGAATAAATCACATAGATAATAAACAAGGTATCAAAATCGTCTTGAGATTTTATAATATTGCTGTTGATAGTTATCTCTCACACAACAATTTCTTTGACTATTTTAAACATGCCAGAAAATGTTTCGGTTTTATAATAATTAGATAATAGAGGAGACGGAGTATTACTATACGTAGATATAAGAGATCAGAGAGTCAGAGTTGACATTATTAGTATGGATTATACTATATTATTTAAAATATCTATAAAATAGTTGTTATAATTATATTAGCAATTAGATATTTTATGAAATATTCATATTCAAAAAATACGTATATTGTTGATGACGTCTCACGTAAAAATAGTGTTCCCTTTGTCGAAAGTTTTGCGTTGTTGATTTGAAATAGTGATGTCGAGACCGAACGATTGTCTTGGTTTCTTGTGGTTCTAATCATCTTTCTGGTTGCTTGTTCTTCCTCCATGCTCCTCGTGGTCACCATTGGGTTGACGCTCGGCCCCACGTAGGCCGCCAAAAGTTGGTGGATACTTTTGGGACGAGAGACTAACCTACTGGACGGGTCTGAGACGCTCGCTAGCTCCAAATCTGAAAGACTGGTCGATCGGTGTTGGCACAAACCGATCGTCTCTTTCTGACGAGGGGAGGATTGTACCTGCAAAAGGTTACTCCGACGCCCAAGTTAGGCGGTGATTTGAAGAGCCCGGCTCTTGGTTGCAATTTAGTGAATGATTATCACTATTGAATATTTGAGAGTAACCGTAGAGTAATAATGCGTTGGACGTACCTGGCTTTTGGCCCTGGCTTGGTATTTAAATTTACTCATGATACTGAGCTGATATAGCCCAAAATAAAAATAAAACAGAATAAGATATAAACAGATACATGAATATCCGATTGGTTGTTGTAACCACTCGGTTAATATTTTAGACTATACACACACCCTTACACACTTACCAGCTAAATAAGTCAATACTTTCCAATCGTATTTGATCATTCCTTTATATTTGAACTATGCGGACTAATAAGAAAAAGGTTGAAAAACCATATAATTATGACATGATCAACTTTATAAATGTAATCATTAACAATCACTCCTTTTAAACTGAAAAATATTTAAAAAAGTTGAAGAAGATATGGAATAAATGGCAACATATTAAACCCTGAAAATAACATCTCATAAAAAAAAAAGCAATAAATCGAACCTAATTTAAGCAAGAATGTCATTACAAAAAGATTTTTCCAGAAAACTGCAACGGATAATGTTAAACAAACCAAAAACATTAATTTATAAAATGTGCCAAAACACAAGTGGTCATGTTGAATTTACTATTTGGGAATGCGATTCCTCTGTCCGTGCCACCCGTCTTTCTACGTTCACATCCATAAACAAGAGAAGAAGGAAGATTCATGGCCATGTAGTTGAACACAGTTGTTCATCCTGTAATCTTTCAAGATGGGACGAATCAGCCTTCTGCTTGCAGATTTCGTTCTGTCTTTCATGTGGGTATGCTCCGGTGTTCTGTTCGCCGTCATCGTCTTCCAACATCTTGGCTTCGGTCACTCACCCCTCGGTGAGGTTATCAAAACCACCTTCTCCGTCGCCAGCATGTTCTTCTTCGCCTTCCTTGTCAAGATTACGCGTGGCGGCGCCTACAACCCCCTCACCGTTTTGGCTGATTCTATCTCTAGGGATTTTAACTACTTCCTCTACTGCGTTGGTGCTAGAATCCCCGCACAGGTTCTGTTTTTCTTCTGTTAGAACAAATGAATACCCTTTTCGTTTTGGGTCTTTCTTTTCTTTTCTTTTTTTGATCTTGCGCTACCCCGGTTTTTTAATTAAATGGCCTGGATTGGAGATGCGAAGAGATGCGAAGAAAATTGGTGGAAATGGAAATTTTTATTTGTGGGTCTGTCAGAAGTTTTCGTTGTGACGAATTAGCATTGGGACGTAAGTATGTGAAAGTTGACCTTTTTTGCCCCCTTTTGACTGTGATTGACTAGGGTTGAATTTCATGCTATTGCTGGTTAATCGTGTTCGATTTTGCTCTTGTTGCCTTGATTGAAAAGTTCAGAAGTATAGTTGGGTTAGATGATGATGGTACATTTTTTAGCATTGTTGGTTGATGATACTTTTTGTCTTTGTGCTATTGTGCCGGATTTGCTTGCACTGGACATCATTCAACTTAATAATCACGTGATGGGTGGAACATTTTAGATATTATTCAGATATCTTGATATTCTCAATGTGCAGAAGATGGCTTAACTACATTATGGATAGTTAGTTAAGATTTTGAAGCCGCCATAGGATTCCTTTGGAATTTGCTCTGAAGATTCAAAATTCGTGCTTTTCTCATGTTTGGACCGCAAAACAATTTTCTTGTTGTCTTGATTAATGACATACTGACATTGATTCATTGCCAAACTATTTTCATAAGTTATACGTTGAATTGTCATTGATGCATTCACGTTTGAAGTAGGTAAAATTCAAAATTTAGATTCATGTTTATACCTAAACTCCAACATTATAGATTGTAGAATTTACCTTGTGGGAATACCTTCCAATCCATGGATCCTTAATTTCATGAAATCAATCACGTATGTGATTCTTGTTGGCCATGCTAGAAAGCAACTTAGTTAATCACTTTCCTGCAGTTGCTTGTTTTCTGTTATACATCTCAACCATAGCCGTGATTGTCTCAAAACTCATCTTGAGTTGAAGAGTATCATTGAAATATGCATGTTTTTCAATCTCTCCAGGTGGTTGGAAGTATTATTGGCGTTAAATTTCTTATTGATACCATTCCTGAAGTGGGACAGGGACCACGTTTGAACGTTGACATTCATCAGGGTGCACTCACAGAAGGATTACTAACCTTTGCAATTGTAACCATTTCACTTGGACTTGCCACAAAAATTCGTGAAAATTTCTTCATGAAGACTTGGATTTCCAGCCTCTCAAATTACACTTCATATTCTTGGTTCTGACCTGACTGGTGGTTGTATGAACCCTGCATCAGTAAGTACTGCTGTATCCGAATTTTCTGTCATCAGAAAACTTTGGTCTTGTGAACCATAGAAGAAACCTTTGTTGTTTTCTTGCTAAGTAACCTTGGTTTGACTTGTTCAGGTGATGGGATGGGCTTATGCTCGTGGGGATCACATAACAAAGGAGCACTTCTTTGTATACTGGCTTGCTCCCATAGAGGGCAACTATTTTAGCAGTGTGGACATTCAAATTACTGGTGCCGCCTGCAAAAGAAGATAACGCAGCCTTAAAACGTAAATCTGATTAAGAAGAAACTTCATTTTGTGTCAGATGTCTTTCCACTTGCTTAAAATATTTGTTTTTACAGTTTGTGGGATGAATATATGGCAAGCCAAGAACATGTACAGGTTACAGATATAATCATGGATCAGAGTGTACTATTTTGTCAACTTTGTGTTTGTTATATCCATGCTCTTCCAATTGTCTAATTCCATTTTTGCACGCGTGCATGACTCATGCATTCTACTTTCCTTCTGTCTTATTAACCACAATAAACTTTTCTGTCGGATACATGAACAAAGATGAAATGGCAAGGAAACTCACGAATGAACGGTGTTTTTTTTTCAAATGCAGAACACCACTGTTGACAATGTTATTTTATCATGATATGTTTCTTGATTCTTGGCATTTGCAAAATAAATGTCATTATTTATAAGAGACAAATCATAAGTACTTGTAAGTTAAAAGTCAAATTTGGGTACGAAATAAGCTTCTAACTTAATTTTAGTCTGTAAAGACATCAATTTCATTCTTTTTTTCATCTTTATGTATGAACATAG